GATAATCCTGGCCGATATGACAAAACGATCGTCCGTAAAATATCTCGGGATTTTTTTTTTTTTTTTTTTTTTTTTTTCTTTCCCTCTTTGTACTTACTTTATTATAAATTTTATAAAATCATGAATATATTAACACGTGCGGAAGAAGAAGAATTACTAAAGAAATTTAAAATGAATGCAAGAACAAATTGTGCATCATTGATTCAAGGTAAATATTTATTTATTTTTATTTATTTTTTTTTTTTATTGTTATAAACTACCCAAATTCTTACCTTACCGTTATAAAAGAATTTGTTGATTGTACCACAGGAAAAGTTGTTTCGGTTGCGTGGGCTTGTAGAAGCCAACTAAAAGCCATGAACAATTGTTTAAATAAATTGTGAGGGTTCCTATTTATTTCATGTTGCTAAATGTCTATATTGTTGCATACTAAACTATCATCATATTTTATTGGATATATTGATTGTGTTTAGTACTACACAAGAAGAACTAGATAAACTGAGATTAGAATATATTAAACAAAAAAGACAAAAAGCTTAAATAAATGAAATTTTCGTAATAAATAATTTAGTTTTTTACAATCAAGGCAATTTATTTTATTAAGATTAAATTAACAGAAAGCGATACCCGATCGCTTTTTTTTTTTTAAAAAAAAAAAAAAAGTTTCTGTTCTTTCTACAGTTACCTTATTTGATAGGAAAAAAGATAGAAGAGATGAAGACTAAATATAATACAATAATAATAAATCATATATATGTATGAATATACACATATAGAACTGCTAAAAATTACAAATAAATAAGACGAGAGAATTCCAACCTAAAGTGCATTATTAAATAATGATTATTAATGAATTAAATTATCTAGGCATATGAGTCACTTCTAATTTTTCAAAATGTTTTCTTGCCACACTAATGTTCATTTGGGTTGCAGCAGATTCTAAATGAAGTTCAAAAAGCTGATTAAAAACAAATTTCAATTAAAGAAAATTTTCCTTTATAGTACATACCAACAGATGAATCAGACATGATAACCATGACATATGTGTTGGCAGTCAAAACGTCAAAGAATGCGGCAAAATTTGCCTGTCGAATCTCCATGCTTTTAAATTGAGCTTGGAATTTACTATAGAAACGAGAGAGTCAACATTCAAGTTTCTAATATTCAATGGAAATAATGGAAATTTAAATTTTCTTATTATGAGTAACTCACCCACAACTCAACTTAAACTGTTTCATATAATTACTGATTTTCTCAAACCTATGAACATCTGAATGTTCGATTCTAGTTGAATGAGAAATCACTAGAAATGTGGTTCGCTCAAATAATACAACTTCATCCGCTTCACATATAGTAGCAAAGTTTTGAAGATGAGACTCGAGCTGTCTCACATTTGGAATTAAGGAATGTACTATTGAAGACCACGCCTAAAATAGAGAAAATCATGTGTTAATCATCATGCATACCGTAATAATAGCTAGTCGTCATTCGACTTACTTTATAAAGAGTCTCATCCCATATGGATGTAGCAAATGCTGTAATTTTTAGAGGCTCAGAGCGTGTTTTCAATTCATTTAATCGCTCAGTAAATATCTATGAGAAAATCATAAATTAAGCTTATCCTATTCTCCAACAAATCATCATTTAAATATTTGCTTACTTTATTCCTCAGCTCTTCTTGTACTAGATCCATTTTATGTATTAAACAAAAGATCTTTGCATCCTTTGAATTTGCCAGTATTGCTTCAAGACAATCCTGGTAATAATGCATATCTCTTTCTATTTCACGCGATTCTACATCAAATACATAAATAAGGACTTCTACATTACGAAAAATATGATCTCGCTGAGCCGCAAAATAATTTTCCATAAATGTCTCTTGGCTTTCAAAAAAAGTACCATGTCAATTTATTAACTAATAAAATAAAGAATAAAAAAAAAAAAAAAAAAAAAATGTTGCAAGATATGAAAGGATAGTTAGTTTATGGTTAATATAATAAACATACCCTCCACAGTCCCAAAGGTTTAGAACCAAGTTACCAAGAAAACGTACACGAGAGTTCTCGACATCGACTTTTGTGTCGTAATAAAAATGTTAGCAAAATAAGGAATGAAATTTGAAAAGTATTAGAACAAAAAATTTGTATTTACTCAACTTGTTGCACCCAACCGTCGTGTATCTCTTGCGACATAGTTGTGGAAGATAATACTACGCATAGAAGTCTTGCCAGACCCACTTTTTCCCATTAAAAGTACCTATTAGTCCAAAAAAGGCTACATTATTATTCACTTTTTCATTTCTTTATATAAATTATGGTGTTTGTTAATATAAAACATGAAAAAAAAAATTTCAATTTCTTTTCTTTTCAAACCTTCTTGTTCATTGTAATGATATTTTCTTTGTTTCTGATCAAAGATGTTCAAGATGAAAAGATGGTCACTCGATAGTCCTTATAAGTTGATTTGTCATTGTACAAAATATCTAATAGCTTAGTTAAGAAGGTAAGTGTAATTATGCATTTATGCACTATTATAACATTTTATTTCATGTATGACGAGATATTATTCATAACGATGTCCATTTTGGCTGGATTGATTCTGAATGACATTCCCTGAAGGTCTTTTCTTAGGTTCTGAGAATTAACTAAAATTAAAGATCTATAGTTAAAAAATTAAAAAATTTGATTTTCCTTTCAACTTTTCCATATATTATGGGCTCTTTTGCAATAGTAAGGACGGAATATTAAATCTGAACTTATTTTTACTAAAAAAAAATAATATTTAGCTTATAAAGTAAATAAAAGATTTTAATAAACCTAATAAAAAAATTAAAAAGTACTTTTTATATTATAATATAATTACAAAATTACAAATTAATCTAAAATACAGTAAACAGATTCTAAAATTTTTATTACATTTATTTTTGATATTTTATTATAAATATTATCCCTTAGATTGTAAATGTTCGCAACAAATTTACCTGCTTATTTACTATAAATTACCTTTTAATTATGAAAAATTAAAATATTTAAAAAATTTTTAAAAAAATTAATTTTATAAATATATATAATAAATAATCTAAAGTTACTTATAAATTAAAAATTTGTAATTTTTAAAAATTTTGTTGATAATCTTATTAACATTTACTTTTAAAATATTAATCATAATAGAATATTGTAAAATTTATCATGAAGACTTTAATTATTTTAATTTTTAATGATTTATTAAGAAATTTATAATTTTTATTAATAGTAAAGTAATTTAATTAGTTAACAAACATATGAATTTTAAAGAAATTTTTAATAAATTTTTTAAAACTTTAATTTTAAAAATTGAATTATTTAAAAACAATAAATTTAAAAATTTTTCTAATAAAATTAATAAAAAATATATATTAAATTATATTTTTTATATACTTACTATATTATTAAAATTATTATATTAAAAATTTTATATTTTTTTAAGTTTACAAGCAAATTTATCTGCTAAATAATTTAAGGAATAAACTATTATAATTATTATAAATATTAAAATTTTAAATTTAATATAGCAAAAAGAAACCTTTTAGAATAAAATTTAATTAATATATTAAGAAATAATTCAATTATAACATATAGTCAACATTGGGGGTTTTGGGACAAAATTTCTGAATAAATATACAAAAGTGTATAGCAGTCAACTCTTGATATAGCGAACTCTTGATATAACGAATTTTTTAAACAAATATAATAAAAATACTCTTGTTATAG